CAAGATTAGTTAGAGATAATAGGATGTCAAGGAAATACTTTTCCTATTCCCAGCCACTAAGTGTCAAGAGGGCCTGAGTAGTCCAGAACGATATGGAGTGGCTGGTTTGTTTTTGTTGCCAGGGAAGTGGAGTGTTATTGTGGGTTTTTTTTTTTTTTGTATTGGTATTTTATCCTTGTAACGCAACCAGAATCACTGATGAGATTGAGTTGGGGGGGTGGGTATTTAAATGTCCTTAAATTATTAAATGAGAGGAAACCACATAAATCTCATCAAGAAGAAAAATAGTTTAGTTAACGTAGTGGCTGTAACCTTTCCTTTTAACAAGAAAATTGAATTATTTCAATCCCAAGGAACAATTTATTTAAAGAACACTGGAATGTTAATGGCACTTTAAAGAATATCCAGTGTCAACTAAAGGTTACATCCTTGACTTATTTACTGAGGATTTATTTCCATCTTCCTGTTACAAATTCTTATTTCTTCATGATCACAGACACACAGTACAGGATGTTCACATAGGCTTTTTCAGATATTGAGTTGGGAATAAAAGCACAGCTGTAGCTGAATACAACAAAGATGCAATGTGGTCAACACCTCTGAGAAAGGAATCTCAACGACTCTATAAAGATCTTCATTCCCCATCCCCAGAATAAAAAAAACATGTACATTTTCACAAAACTAAAGGTGCAGACAAAAAAGAAGGAATTTGATGGCAAGGGACAACTTCTGTCACATTTTCAGTAAAATAATTACTAATTAGATCTTGAAAGAATGCAGTAATGGGAACTTCTAATATCTATCTAGCTTAATATACATAATGTAGGTAATATGATGTAGTAATATATATTTAGGAATGGTAATGTCCTATGAAGCAGGGTTGTATGGAATCCAAGAAGTTACAAAATAAAATCTGCATTACCTAAATTAAATTACTATATTTAATAGATTTAACAGAGTTGGAAGAGATCTTGTAGGTCATCTAGTCCAATCTTCTCAAGCAGAAGACCTACACCATTTCTGACAGGTGGCAGTCCAGTCTCTTCTTGAAAGCCTCCAGTCATAAAGCTCCCACAACTTCTAAAGGCAAGCTGTTCCATTGGTTGATTGTTCTCACTGTCAGTAAATTCTGCTATCATGTCTCCCCTGGTCATTCCCTTCACTAGACTAGCTATGCCCAGTCCCTGTAACCGTTCTTCATATATTTTAGATTCCAGTCCCCTAATCATCTTGGTTGCTCTTCTCTGCACTCTTTCTAGAGTCTCAACATCTTTTTTATAGTGTGCTGACCAAAACTGGATGCAGTATTCTAGGTATGATCTTATTAAGGCTTAATAGAATGATATTGGTACCTCACTTGATCTTGATTGAATCTCTCTGTTAATGCAATTTAGGATTGCTTTTACTTTTTTGGCCACCGTCGCACACTATTGACTCATATTTAATTGGTTGTCCAATAAGACTCCAAAATCCCTCTCACAGTTACTGCTATTAAGCCTGGTTTCACCCAGTCTATATTTGTAAACTTTTGTTTTTTCTTGCCTAAGTGCAAGACTTTACTTTTCTCTACATTGAATTTCATTTTGTTAGATAGGGTTAGATTTAATTACTATATTTACTATATTGGAAAAAATGTAAGCAGAAAATCTAACACCTTTGATGAATTTGTTGTTATGAGCCACCCGGAGGTGTTTAAGATGGGAGGACATGCTAATCTTTTAAATAAATAAATGACAAATAAATGTCTAGTAAAGATTTTTCAGTATTTGACTTAAGTAAGCATTCTTAGAACTACTGTTTCTATTGGCAATTATTTATTGAGAGAGATTTATCCAGACCATCAAAATAGAAGGAAGAATTAGAATACAAGGATAGAAGAAAAAAAACAAATGTTTAAGGTGATAAATGATAAAATAAATGTTACACCATAAAGATAGAAGCTCCAATGTTTTCGTATGAACCCTGTCACATGATAAAATATGGAACCTCTGTTGAGATGCTTAATTTATGAAAGAAAGAAAGAAGAAAGATCTTTTAATTAGTACAATAAATAAATATTGACTAAAGGGAGCCACTTTGGTCAAGTGGTTAAAGCAACTGTCTAGAAAGTGGGAAGACCATGAGTTCTAGTCCCACATTAATCATGAAAGCCAGCTAGGTGACCTTGAGCTAGTCATTCTCCCTCAGCCCAACCCATTTCACAGGATTGTTCTTGTTGGCAAAATAGGAAAAGGAAAGTATGTTGGAAATGTTCATCACCTTGAGTTATTTGTAAAAATAATAAAGGTGGGATATAAGAAATAAATACTGTAGGTGGAGCTGACATTGCAGCGATACGACGTGCTTTTCCGGAGCTCAGGGGCATCAAAATCCCATCTTTTTGGCGGTCCAGCTGGACCTAAATCATCCCAGAGGGGAGATAATTGAAGAAGGCACACTCCATCGATCCCACGGAATCCACAAGTTCCCTGGTTGATCCAGAGAAAGCCGTCAAAGCCGACAGCAAGGAAAAGCAGCCATTGTGAACCTCTACAAAGCTAGGACAGCTACCGGAAGAAAGAGAACTGGAAAGAAAGTATGATTGTTCTGGATAAGAAATTTAAACCAAATCAATTATTGGAGAAAGAGCACCCCTTGGGAAAGTGGGGTGAAGGAGAGGCTAAAAGAGAAAGATGGAAGTGGGTTTCCCTCCACTCCACCTATGTAAGCGGAGAGGAAAGGTTGTTTTAAAAAACCAATTGAATGAGGAAGCAATTAATCATGGACTTCCTGAAAGAAATTTGGTATTGAAGCTGGACTGGACAGGCTGGGATAATTAAAAATCCCATCTGTTTGGTGGTCCAGCTGGACTGGACAGGCTGGATAGTATTAAAATTGAAAATTAGATTTATGTTTTTCTCGTTTTCAACTATAAAATGCAGAAAGATAAAGAACTATACTTTATATTGAGATAACATAAGGAAGAGAAAAGAGAAAACAGAGCAACAGTGCCACCTGAAGGTTGAATTGAAAATTGAAGACTGAAGACTGAAAAGAGAAAAGGCTAATGTGACTACATGGGAATAGAAAGATAACAGAGTTATTTTGTCAGAAAGTGAAAGGCAAAGAGTGGAACACTGAGACTTTTATTTTGAACAGTGTAGGTCTTGGAACTAGAAAATAAATCAGACAACTGAGAAATGAACACTAAAAGGGTTCCCTTTCTCTTGGATTACTTTTTTCTTTTTTCTGGTGCCTTTGAGTTTGCTCTGTGAAATCTCTTTTTTCTGGAAATACAATAATAGAGTATTGAAGGCTGAGTGCTGGTGGGCCAATCTGGATTACAACTTGTTATTTACGGGGCGGATTTTTCATCCTTCTTTTTTCCTGTTTTTTTCCAATGGTTACTTTCTGTATTGATTATTTCTGTATTGACTACTCTATTTAAAATTTGGATTAAGGTAAGAAGAACCTGAAGAAAAAAGAACTCTGGATGGGAATGGGAGCTGATATTTGTACCCCTTTCTTGGATTACAATTGAATTTTTTTCTGGTTGGAAATATAATAATTGAGGATTGATTACTATAAACGTTGGTGGGCCAATTTGGATTACAACTTGCTACTTTCCCCTTTTTTTCTTTTTTCTTCTCCTTTTTTGTTTCTCTTTTTTCTATTATCAATAAAATTTTGGATTAAGGTAAGAAGAACCTGAAGCAAAAGAAATTTGGACTTAGACTGGAATTTATTTCATTTTTTTTTTTTGTATTACAATTGAGCTGTAAGGGCAACCTATGGTGGATTATAAAAATAAATATTTCAAAATGAAGAAGACAATGTCTGCACCATCTTCAGCATCCTCCTCTGCTACTTCAAGCCCTGCTGGACAGAGGACCCTGAAGACTATGTTACAGCAAGAGAAAGCCAGCTCAATGCAAGCAGAGATTAAAGCAATGATATAAGCAGTTCATGAGGATTTGAAGGAACAAATGGGGAGAGTAGAAGAGAAAGTAGGGAAAATAGAAGATAAAGCAGAGAACATTCAACAAATGATGGTGAAAAATGAAGAATGTATGCAAAAAGTAGAAGCAAGAGTAGATTTAACAGAAAAATGGGTGGGAGAGCTTATAGACTTACATTGGCTGACCAAAATAAAGAAAATAAAGAAAAACCAATAATTTCATTAGAAATGGACCAGGCAGATTTTACTTGAGATTTCAAAACATGGAGGAAGAAAAGGGAGATTATGGCAGAGATACTGGCCAGGGCCTGGAGGTGACTAAAGAAAAAATGTTGGCTGATATTGACAAAATATTTAGAGTACACATTAGATGTGCGATGAGAAATAAATTGCCTAGAGAGGTACATGTGAGATTTATTTAAAAAGCCATAAAAACAAAAATCCTGCAGAGAGCGAGAAATGACCCTTTGAAATATAGAGGGAAAGGAATAACAGTGTTAAAATAAATCCCGAGAAGAGTTAGAGACTTGAGACCATAAATATTATGACACAAGATATCTGTACCCAGATGACACTATGTTTAAAGAAAAGATGGAATGTTTGTAAAAATAAAATTTAAAAAAAGAAATAAATACTGAATCACTGTTATGCTGATCAGTGCTATAATTTTATGTTACTTCAACTTAAATTAGGAATTCTGCATAACTAAGGTACTATGTGGGAAGACTTTTTGAGGTTCCTGCCTATATATGACCAATTTCAAACATTATTAACATTAAAGAATTTCTACAAACAACCAGACAATTTGGTTATATTTTGTTTTTTACTTTCATAACAAAATACTTCAGACAAAACGCTTCAGAAATAAAAGATTTCTATTTAGCCTTTTTCTGTTTAGAAGAGTTCATTTAAAATTAAGGGAAAAATCAATCAAAATAAATCCAGGCTCTCTTGACTATCTCCTATTACTACCATACAAGTGGAGAATTCTAATTTTAATTACTTCATTTTAACAACAATAAAAATGATGAACTTGCCTGTCTGATATACTGATTGTGCCTACCTTTTGCCACATTTTGATAAAGAAAAGCTCTCTGGAAAAGTTGAAAGCGATGTTTGTGTCATAAGCATCATCCCCAATGTTAGCAATGGTGACGTTCAGCGAGATGTTCTTCACAGCTCCCAAAGCCAGATAAGGAGCCCTGTTATCAACACTGCAGAAAAAGAGCAGCAAATTAACACTTGGCTATTCATTCTTCTGTTTTTTTTTTTTTTTACAGTGGAATAAATATGAAATAAGAGCCAAAAAAAAATATCTTCTGTTACCAGGTGACAAATGGAAACAAAAGAAGAATAGTCTCCTCCTAGACTATCATTGTGGACTAAGCCAAAAGTATTATTTCAGGACACTTTGCAGATCAGAGATTTTATTTTATTCTTTTCAGTTTCAGTTCTTTGCTGGTGTGATTCTTCATGAAAATGAATGAGGTTAGAATGGGATAATACCACAGTGCTTTGTTTTGTTTTAAGTAAGAAAGCATATGCTACAAGAAAATCCCTGGAAGTATTCTACATTTTTTTTAAATTACATTTCTTATATTGACAGGATATTAGATTAGATCAGTCATAAGGATTTAATAAATATATGTAAGTTCAGAAACTAGTCATGTGTTGGAAATCATTGCATGTGAAATGTGATCATTGATATCTTCATTACAAGACTGAGAAATGTGTTTACATTTTATATTTATGGAAATACAATGAATAAACAACCATGTTACCATGGTACCTGGGTTTTTCCAGCAACCAGAAAGAAGTCTAATCTTCCTGGTAGCTGTCACATAGGTAATTGTTCCATACCCTAGATTTGTTCCACCTAGTGGTAGGGCTCAAACTCCACCACAAATATCAGAAATCTAATTGTTTAAAAATTCTGAATTAGACTCTATTGTTTTCTGAGAATGTAGAATGTCATCAAAATAATGCAGTTTACAAAATATTTGGAATAAATGGGGGACAGAACAAAGACTGTCCATACTATGATCTCGTCACTTCAATGTGTTCTTTAAATACCTTTGATGTGATTCTTAAATTTATTTATTTATGTGACTGAATAACAGCTACAACAGATTAACAGAGTTGAAAGGCACCTTGTAGGTCATCTAGTCCAACCTTTCACCCAAGCAGGAGACCCTACATAATTTCTGATAAATGGCAGTGCAGTCTCTTCTTGAGACTGAAAAGTTACAAATGGAAAAATTTGTAAGCTGTCATTCTTCAGAATAGACTGCAATAATAAAAGTCCGGCTCTTCAATTCAGCCATAGACAGATGGTTTGGAATGTGAAACAAGATCAGAAAATGAATCAATTTAACAAGAATGCAGTAGAATAGAATAGAACAGAATAGGATAGGATAGGATAGGATAGGATAGGATAGGATAGGATAGGATAGGATAGGATAGGATAGAATAGAATAGAATAGAATAGAATAGAATAGAATAGAATAGAATAGAATAGAATTCTTTATTGGCCAAATGTGATTGGACACACAAGGAATTTGTCTTTCGTGCATATGCTCTCAGTGTACATAAGAAAAAAATAAAATACATTCATCAAGAATCAAGAATAGTAATACAGTGACACAGGTTTAATACCATTGCATTAATGTGAATATCTGACAATAAAAATCAGATTACCTAGGGCTGCCAACCCTGCTGGAACTATTAAATAGGCAACCACTGCCAGTACTATAATCTAAGAAAAGCAGTCTTCTAAAATATTCTGCATTATCCATAGTCAGATATTTTTAAAGTAGCAAATGGAAAGTGAGATGCCATTTATTTATTGTTGGCTTGCTTACATCATATTAAGTCCACCATATTTCTTAAGGACTTATGGCAGTTTATATAGTACAAAACTATGTTTTATGAAAAACATGCCAAGGTGTGGAACAAATGCTAAAATATTAAAACTTGCTAAAACTCTAATTCTCCTCTTCATACAATTATTATCTCTGGGACTATGACATTAAAATATATATAAAAGAGCTATTTTTCACAGTCTTTCTAAATATTAGGAGACAGATCTCCACGGTGAATCTATGCCCAAAGGTTAAAGTCATAACATGGGTTTCTATTTCCTCTAATGAAATTTACACTGGAGAGAAACCCTACAAGGGATTATGGACTGAATAGCTACTGTAGGTTCTATTTGGAGCTGACAGGCCAGGCAAAACAATAGTTCATACATTCATCACCTCTTGGCTAGTTCACTGCAATGTGCTCTCCATGAAGCTGCTTACCATGGTCATTCAGAAACTATAGATATTTTCTTAGCTGCAATTCACACTTAACAATGTTTATTATTATTTATTTATTGTTTGTCAAACATGTACAAGATAAAAAGTATAGGTATGAAGACAAACATGAACAAAGGAAGTAAATACAGATAAATGGGGACAGTAGGAACACTGGTGCGCTTATGCATGCTCCCTTTAAGGACCTCTTAAAAATGGGGTGAGGTCCACAGGAGACAGTTTGAGGTTGAAGCTGTGAGGGGTTGAGGCTGTAACAACGGGGTCGGGTAGGGTGTTCCGGGCGTTGACTACTCTATTGCTTAGGTTGCATTTTCTGCAATCGAGTTTGGAGTGGTTTACCTTGAGTTTGTATTGGTTGTTTGCCCGTGTATTATTGTGATTGAAGCTGAAGAAGTTGTTGATGGGCAAGATGTTATAGCAGACAATTTTGTGAAGTATGATTAGATTGGACTGCAGGCGACACAGTTCCAGATTGTCCAAGCCCAAAATTTCAAGACTGGAGGCACAGGGAATACTATTGTGAGTAGAGGAGTGGAATACTCTTCACAAGAAATACCTCTGAACCCACTCAATCATGTTAATGTCCAATATACAGTGTGGGTTCCAGGTGGACGAGCTATATTCAAAAAATGGTCTGGCAAAGGTTTTGTATGCCCTAGTTAGAAATTAAATGTTACCGGAGAAGAAGCCTCGCAAAAAAAGGTAAACAACTCTTAATACCTTTTTGGCAATGCTGTTATAATGAGCTCTGGGGCTTTATTTTATTTATTTATTTGGTTTGTCAATTGCTTACAAGATAATAGGTATAAGTAAAAACATAGTTATGTATACATGGATACATATAAGAAAAATAAAAAAATATATAAAAGAAACAATAGGACAGGGACGGTAGGCACATTGGTGCACTTATGCATGCCCCCTACAGACCTCTTAGGAAAGGGGTGAGGTCAATAGTAGACAGTCTAAGGTTAAAGTTTTTGGGGTTTGGGGAAGAAACCACAGAGTCAGGTAGAGTATTCCAGACATTGACCACTCTGTTGCTGAAGTCGTATTTCCTGCAATCAAGTTTGGTGTGATTAACCTTGAGTTTGTATCTATTGTTTGCTCTAGTGTTGTTATGGTTGAAGCTGAAGTATTCATTGACAGGTAGGACATTGCAATATATGATTTAATATACTATACTTAGATCGGACCGAAGGCTGCGTAGTTCTAGATATTCTAGATCTAGAATTTCAAGTCTGGTGGCATAAGGTATTCTGCAATGAGTAGAGGAATGGAGAACTCTTCTTGTGAAATATTTCTGGACTTTCTCAACTGTGTTAATATCAGATACATAATGTGGGTTCCAGACTGATGAGCTGCATTTGAGTATTGGTCTAGCAAATGTTTTGTATGCTATAGTAGTGTAATATTTCCAGAGAAAAAGCAATGTAAGATTTGGTTAACAACTCTTAATGCCTTTTTGGCTATGTAGTTACAGTGGGCTCTAGCACTTAGATCATTAGAGATGAGTACTCCAAGATCCTTGACAGAGTTTGGATCATCAACAAGGTCTTGACTTTTCAGCCTGTATTTTATTTTCTGATATATATTTTTTGCCAATATGTAGGGCAGAGCATTTATTTGTTGAGATTTGAAGATGCTATTTGTTTGACCATTCCGATACATAGTCTCGAGGTCTTTTTGAAGGGTAGCAGTATTGTCTGTGGTGTTGAATAGCTTTACATCATCAGCGAAGAGAACGCAGTTGCTCTTAATATGGTCACAGAGGTCATTTATGTAGAGTATGAAGAGAACTGGTCCTAAAACACTGCCTTGGGGGACATCACTGTTGACAGGTACAGAATTTGATAGGACGCTCCCAATTTTGACCATTTGTTGTCTGTTTGACAGGAATGCTTCTATCCAGTTATGCAGGTGTCCAGAGATGCCATAAGATTTTAGTTTTAGGAGTAGTTTGTTATGTACCACTGAATCAAAGGCTTTACAGAAGTCTAGGTAAATTGCATCTATTGCTTTGCCCTGATCAAGTTGTGTAGTCCGTATGTTTTTGCAGTGTAAGAGTTGCAGATTACAGGATAGTTTTTTTCTGAAACCAAATTGTTTATTAGAGAGGAAGTTGTTTGTCTCTAAGTGGAAAATGATGGATTTGTTAATAATTGATTCCATGACTTTATAGGTGATGCAGCATAAAGCGATTGGTCTGTAATTTTCAACTAGGCTGGGGTCTCTCTTTTTGAAGATGGGGTTGACCATGGCTTGTGACCATAGTTTTGGCAAGGAGTTGGTCCTGAAAGATTTTTCAAAGATTAAGCTTAGAGGTTCGGCTATGGCAGTGGATAGCTTTTTTAGGAAGTAGGCACATATTCTGTCAGGTCCAATAGATAGAGATGGTTTTAGATTGCATAGTGCCTTTTCAACATTGTCTTCAGTAAAATCGATATATATTAGATCATTGTAGTTGTCTGTGGTTCATCTAGGAAATACTGGGCATGATCCATTGTTGTTTACAAATACTGAGCCAAAGAATGTGTTAAAGAGGTTGGCTTTAATGGTGTTGTCGTTGCAGTCTTTACCATTAGGTCCTTTCAGGGGTGGGATGGATCTTGAGTCTTTTAGTTTGTTGTTTACAAAATTGTAGAAAGTGTGGGTGGAATTTGTGCGTAGAAGGTTTTCCTCTTATTTAATGTGATAATTGGTGCATTCAGTCTTTATCTGGTGGCATAGATTTTTGTATCGGCTTTTGAAGTTGGCAATGTGACCAGATTTGCTTTTCTGCCAAAGTGATCTCTTTTTGGATTGAAGCTTCCTTATTGTTATGGGTAATCTGTTTTTCCTGGTTTTGGGAGTTGTTATTGGTACATATAGTTTGATGGCTCTTTTGATTTCTAGTAAGA